GAAGTTCGCAGAAGACTTCCGTCCAAAGGCAACAGGTACAGGCTTCTCGGATCAAGATTTGATTGAAAAGATCAAGAAACATATTCCGGAGAAAACGTGGCTGCTCATGCTGGCAGACACGACCAAGGACAACTGGTCCAAGAAGTGGACCGAGTTCCTTACATTTGCACTCCGAATATTTACATCATTACAACGAGAAGGCCACCATGCCAAGGCCGAAACCAAGGATCCGAATGCTATGGAGGTTGATGCAGTCGGGAAGAAGGGAAAGAGTAAATCGGGCAAAGCGCGAAGCGTGCAGGACGACAAGTTGGTTTGCGTCAACTGCAAAAAGAACAAGCCAACATTCTTCAAATTGTCGAAACGCTTCGGCAAGTATTGCACCGATTGTTTCAAATTGGACCATGTCAAGAAGCAGATTGAGAAGGAGAAGGAGACAGCTGCGAAGAAGAAGGACGGAAAGAAAAAGGACGACGCCAGGAACAAATCCAAGTCGTCCAAGACGCGACAAGTAGCATCGGATTCCGCTTCATCCGATAGCGAAATGGACATGGACAGTGGTCCCGACATCAAGAAGCACAAAAGCTCTTCCTCTAAGACTAAGGGGAAGGGGAAGGAGACAGCTGCGCATATCAGCGACCGCAGCATCCACTCGGAAAGCAAGCCTGATGCATCCGAGTCGGACGAAGATTTCGCCGCGATCCTCTCAAGGCTCAGGCACCTGAGGGCGAATGGATCCAGTTCATCAAGGAAGGTGGGAGAAGGCTCTTCAAGGAAGGATCGGAAGGGTTTTCTCAAAGGGGATCTGTAGGCAGCTCGTCAGAGTCCCCAGAACATTATATAAGACCTGTACATTTAGCACCCAGATCAGACACCTCTGTAGATCATCGCAACGCAGAGGATGATAATGTAACAATAAAGAATTCGTCTCCAAATTTATCATCGTTCTATTTACCAGTTACATTATGGGTGTATGGCAAAAAATCGAGCACCGAAGCTCTAGTCGACTCAGGAGCATATTCCATGTACATCAGCAAGCGATTTGTAAAGAACAATCGAATCGCAACCTCCAAGCTTAATACTACGTACAAGGTGTACAATGCGGACGGATCCCAAAACAAACATGGAGAAATAACTGACTATGTAAAAGCATACCTCAAAGTCGGAGATCATGGTTCCACCCACCGTCTGCTAGTCACCGACATCGGAAAGTTAGACATGATCATTGGGATGTCATATTTACGTCAGCATAACCCAGAAATCAACTGGCAAGCTGGAGAATGGAAATACTCACGATGCCCGAGTACGTGTCACCACCAGAGGCTTCGTAAAAAACAACAAGCCATTGCGAGAGAGGAAGCTGAAGAAATCTCGCAATGAGCACAACAAGTGGCAGATGAGGAGCCAACTGCATACAAAATGTTTAATTGACACAACATCGATGCAGTAAATCCTATCATCTCGTGGATCGAAATGGACGATCCTGAAGCCGAACAAATAGCCCGCATGATACTTTCTATAGCAGATTGCGGCTATGCTGAACCAGAAGAAGACCTGAAAGAAGCGGCACCCCAGTCAAACACTGGCAGCCCAGAAGATCAGGTTATTAATGAAGTAGAATCTTGGAAAAAACTAGTACCAGATTATCTACATTCATTTGGTGATGTCTTCTCCAAGAAAGCATCTGAAAGGATGCCAACTCGAAAGCCTTACGATCATGCAATCGAGTTTGAAGAAGAACACGAATTACCACGACCAAGCAAACTTTATCCTATGAATCCGGAGGAAAGAAATTCCCTAGATTCATGGATCGATGAAAACCTAGCAAAAGGCTACATTCGAAAATCGAAATCACCTATTGCTGCCCCAGTATTCTTTGTCAAGAAAAAGGACGGCACACTAAGACTGGTACAAGATTACCGAAAACTTAATGCTATAACCAAGAAGAATCGCTTCCCTATTCCACGAATAAGCGAGCTTATCGATCAGCTCAGTAACGCGTCAATATTCACCAAGCTGGATCTCCGATGGGGGGTACAACAATGTTCGCATCCGTAAGGGTGATGAATGGAAAACAGCTTTTGTGACGCATCGCGGTTTATACGAGGCCACGGTTATGTTTTTCGGTTTCTGTAATGCACCAGCCACCTTCCAACACATGATGAATGAGATCTTAGATGATCTTATTCGGGAAGGTCATGTGATCGTCTACCTCGATGATATCCTAATCTTCACTAA